CAGCATGGCGAGCACTAAAATCCTGTGCTCCGTGGACCGGGCTCCTGGTCTGAGTCCTGGGGATGGAGGGGAGTGCGGCTTCGGGAGCAGGGGCCGTGTATTTTCTGCTTTGGTAAGGTACCAGTTTCATCTGGAAAATAAAAATCAGTATTCTCCTTTCTTTTAAGGACTTGGCCATGTACATAAATGAAGTAAAGAGGGACAAAGAGACTTTAAAGAAAATAAGTGAATTTCAGAGCTCTATAGAAAATCTGGTAAGTTGGAAAATCCTCTTGTTCCCTACTTTAATTTGATTATTATTATTAATATATTTGCTTTTTCTGTGTGTCTGCTAGTGAATTTGATGTGCTACCTGAGAAAGGTCCCTGTGTGTTCAGGGGACGTTGACAGTGTTTTTGCTGACGGTCCAGAAGTGGTTGCTACATTACAGAACTGATTTGGCTGTGATGGAGAGTGATTTCTCTGGGTGGTGTTACACTGAAAATGTGTCTCCAGCTTTTTCTCATGTTATTAGTATAGGGGGACCCAAGAATTCCTCAAATCAGCTCTCTGTCTGCCAATTAAAGTGGGTTTTCTTTTGCTGGTAAGAGTTCAGAACAACTGAAAGTGTCCCAAGGCCCATTTGGAGGAGAAAGGCACATACAATATGCGCCTAATCCCAAAAATCTCAACCAGATATTTTAAGGAGAATCTCGTATCTCATCCTCCAGACTCCAGAGGCAGCAAACACTTGGTGCCATTACTGTGCATCAGCCCATCCTGCGCAACCCATCACTCACTCTAGCCCCGAACAAGCCCATTAATTTGATGTTCAGTGGCAGAGCTTCAAGCTAACGAGCTTTTTCCCCCATTTGCCGGGGGGTTTGAGGGGAGGGCTGGTCAGCGGTGGGCGCAGCTGCTCTGCTGTCAGGCTTTGCGCTGGGGGAATGCGATCTGGGGGCTGACACCTGAGATCTTCAGAAGGGCTGGTGGAGGGAGATGCCCACCCCAAGTGCTTCCCGGGGGGGTCCTGGATTTGGGGGCTTTAAGACTTGACTTCATTTGAAAACAATGAACTTTTAACTGATGGTTATTGAACAGACAGAGACAAAACCCTCAATTTTCAAGAGAAACCTGCAAAAATTCTGTGGTGGGATATGGACCATTGTGGCTTATGGATTTTGATTGAAGCAGTCATGATAATCCTGATCTGTGCAAACGATCAGTAGAAATGGGAATGTAAATGGGGACATTAGGCAGCCACTTCTCCTCCTTGCCAGCAGCCAGAGAGCAGGTCTGACATGCGGGAGAGGAGATGTTAGCAAAGCAGTCACTCCTGTCTGCAGATCAATCCCACGCACGTTCTACTCGGTGTTTCCTTTTGTTGCGCCGGGCGGGATGCTGTGGAGTGGTTGGTGTTATGTATACAGAGCCCACGTGGCATGGCAAGGAAATAATTACGGACTATACACACAGCTGTGTGAAATATTTATTTTCCTGACCAGCGGTGATGCTTCACAATAATTTTTTTCCTGTAAGATCTGTTAAGGGGACCGATTCCCATGACTCGGTGGCCGTGCTGCACCAAGCAATGTTTGCAAGGGCGTTTGGGCTGAAAGACAAACTGACTGAACCCTGGGGTCAGGTGCCAGGCCCCCTAAAATCTCCAGTCTTGCTTCAGGATGAACCAAAAAGACAAGAGCCCTGGTTCTGGTTTTGTAGAAACCCCTGGAAATGCAGATTGTTTGGGGGAAGGTTTGCTTTCTGGATCCCAAACCTTGCAGAAATGCTGTGACTCCTGAGCCTTGCCCTGGGATGCTGATGCTGGAGCTCCGGGGGTCTCCCGTGGTCCCATTCCTGATGCCAGGGCCATGCCTTGGTGAGGACAATGCTGTTCTTAGGAGCTTCAGCAGCTCGAGGCAGGGCTGGGGATGATGCCTCCAGCACACTGTGAGATCTGGGCAGGTTTGGGGTTCCACCTCTCCGAAGCATTGTCCCAGCCCCAGCTGCAGATCTCAGCCCGGCTTTCCTTTCTGCAGCAAGTGAAGCTGGAGGAGTTTGGGAGGCCGAAGATCGACGGCGAGCTGAAGGTCCGCTCCATAGTCAACCACACCAAGCAGGACAGGTGAGTGAGCAGCGGCGCTCAGACGTTTTCCCAAACGAAATATGCCTTCTTGTGGCATATCCCCTTGTCCTCATTTATTCAGTGATTGCCTGGAGTTGCACTGACAGAAATCACCACCGATGTGAAATTACAGCACGGTTAGAGCCTTGAGCCGTGCTGGCTGGGAAGCTCTGCAGAGTTTCCAAATGATTCCCCTTGAATGGGGACTTTAATGAGATGTTTGACTGGGTTGCTTGTTCATTTGCTTTCTTTGGGCAGGTATTTATTTTTATTCGATAAAGTGGTGATCGTCTGCAAAAGGAAAGGATACAATTATGAGCTGAAAGAAATTATTGAGCTGCTCTTCCACAAGATGACAGACGACCCTATGAACAACAAGGACATTAAGAAGGTAGGTGGACCGGGGGTTAGCGCTGCTACAGAGCAGTTTGGAGCTGTTTGGGCCAGCCCTTGGGTAGTACGCTCCCATCAGCCTTTTAAAATAGAAACAGAGCTTGCAAAAAGCTGGCAAATAAATGCTCAGCTTTCAGGGCAGCCTTACAGAGACTTGGGAAGTGTTTATTAACGTGGGGCTGGGCTTGATCCTTGGCCTCCCTCTGTGCAAAACCGCCCTGAAGAGGCTGGGATGATTGGAGGTAGGGGAGAGGAAGCTGCTCCCTGCTTTCTGGCTGGCCAGCAGCGAGGGACCGGCAGCGGGGCGGAGAGGAGGGCAGGGAGGGAAGGTCCGTCTGGATGCTCTTGCTCCCACGAGTCGCGGGGTGGAGGAGCCGGGAAGGGCAGCGTGAGCATTGCAGTCCAGCCTGCCAAAATCGACTCTTGAGGCACGGTTGCCACTGAGGGACCATCATTTTGCCAGAGGTTTGAGGCTTAGTCTGCAGCCGTGAAGGAAGACATCCCAGCTATCGGTTTAGCAGACCCATTAGCTTAATCCACTTACATGAAATGGGAAGAAGCATTGTACAGATGGGATAAGTGATATTTGGGTTAAATAGCAAATTTTGCCACTTGGATGCTGAAGAAATGCTCCTAGCTTTGTGTTTTAATGAAATATATTTCTACTTTGCTCTCCTATGCTTTCCAGTCTCATGGAAAAATGGTAAGCAAAGCACACAATTTTCTCTCGTGTTTTTCTGTGCAGTGTTGTAATGAGACAGGCAGAGCATATGTGCAGTGGGCAGGTCAGGTGCTCCTCCTGGGCTGTCAGTTGCTGTCAGGGAGAGATATAATGACTGGGGAGGACCCACTGGAGCAGAAAAATCTGGGTTCTCTCATCTGCCACCATATAATCCTATCTGGCCCTAGTGCACAGTGCCGAGCTGATTCAGGCATCGTTAGTTGTGATGTGTTTTAAAAACAGGGAGCTCTTCTTCCTCCTTCCCTGCTGTTACCTTTGCCGAGGTTCAGCAGTCCTGCAGAAGCAGGGACAGGGGCAGGCACTCAGAGCAGTTATTAAGATGCATGAATAAAGCGCGGTGCATTTTGCTTCTCAGCTGTTGGGAGCACAGCAGTCTGACCAGCGCTCTCGTTCTCTCTTGCAGTGGTCATACGGCTTCTACCTAATTCACCTTCAGGGGAAGCAGGGCTTCCAGTTCTTCTGCAAGACGGAGGAGATGAAGAGGAAGTGGATGGAGCAGTTTGAAATGGCCATGTGAGCACGAGCAGCTGCTCAGACCCTGGTGTGCAGTCACCACACGTGGGGGGACAGCATCTTGGACCAGCAGCTCACTGGACACCACCTCCGATGGCAAAGCCTGTGATGGAGACACTCACGTGGGCTTGCTGGATGGGTCCCTGTGCAAAGGGAGCTTGGGTCCAGCACAAAATCATCTACCCTGCACATCTGCACCAATGCACGGGTGATGCCTGTCTGAAATAACACCGTGCCGTGGTGTCAGGCCACGCATGAGGCACCAGGCTGGGGCTGGAGGAAGGCATTGCGGGAGAAGGGCTGCTGCTGCAGGGAGCTGGTCCTGGGCAAAGCAGGGGTTGGCTCCACGCTGGTGGGTCTGGGCTGTTGATTGACTCAGGCAAGGGCCAAATATGTGAATGTTGTCCCAGGGCAAGGTTGATGAGCAGAATCCTCTCTGCACAGGCAGGCCCTGAGTCTGCTTTCACACTTGATTGCATATCTGTCCTTGTGGTTTCCAAACTTTGACTGAAATGCAAACAGCAGCTGCTGTGACGGGTCACGAGTGCAGCATGACTCTCAGGGACAGGTCGATAACCCCCAGGTCCTTTCCCTTAGGTCCAACATAAAGCCAGAGAAAGCCAATGCAAATCACCATAGCTTTCAGATGTACACATTTGAAAAGACGACCAACTGCAAAGCCTGCAGGATGTTCCTGAGGTGAGCCACATCCATCCAGCTTTTCTGCATCTGCGTTAAAACATGGAAAGAAAATCTCAAAGCTGGGGCTGATTTAGGACTTTCTGACTTCTGTTTTGCACAGAGGAACCTTCTACCAGGGCTATCTGTGCCCCAAATGTGGAGCGGGTGCCCATAAGGAGTGCTTGGAGGTCATTCCTCCCTGCAAGATCGGTGAGTTTTCGCACATCGTGAGCAGCTTGTGCCAAGGAGGTGAATGCATGGGAATGGTCTGAAAGATTCGAGCTGTAAAGCACTGGTGTTTGTTAATGCATAGCAAAATACGTATGTGCTCCCACCCACCGCCCAGGGCCGTAATTCACAATGGCTCGTGGTTTAAAAAACAAACAGACAAACCAACACCCCCCCCAAGCAAAGAGCTGAATCCCGTGTGTGGCTCTGTGAACCACGTGGGGCTGAAGAGGGATGCTGAGATCTTCATCAGAAGGTGTTGGTTTGTGAAAGCAGGAGGGTCCATGACAGGGATCGTGTTTCTAGTGAGAAGGAGAGGCCTCTCTCCGCATCCCAAATACCCTGTAGCACAGCAAAAATTTGTGTCCTTGGTGTAAATTGGGAGAACCTGTGACGCGCCCCTGCTCCCCCAGATCAGAGCCCTGGCAGTGCTCGGTGCAGGGGACTGTCACGAGGTGGCTTTGGGGATGGTTTGGGTGCAGAGTGGAGGGTCTAAGAAACAGGATTACAGAACCTTGTGCAAGTCAGAAAACATCCTTGTCGGGCTCCAGTCCCTCCCCAGGTCTTGCCCACCCGGAGCAGAGCGATGACTGGAGTGAGCCCAGCCTCTGCTTTGTGCTTCCTCCATCAAGTTCGAGCACGGATGCCGGTTTATTGATAGTCACGGCATCAAAAGAAACAGAAAATGGGGTTTGTTGCCTGTTAAATTAACCACTTATTTCAACATTTCTCCTGCAGGTTCTTCAGCAGACCAGGTACGTCTTTTGATGGCCCTTTTCCCCCATTCCCCTCTGCCTTCAGCAGAGCCTGCGTCCTTGCCCGTCTAGGGGTGGGCAGCTGGTGGGAAGAGCCAGCACCGGCCTCATGGGGGTCCCGCTAACCTGGGGGGAAGGACTGGAGACCGATGACCTTTCCTCCAACCTAAAACTGGCCCAGTTTGTGCAGCAGCATGACCCTTGGGAGGTGCCAGCACCCAGCTGGGATGAGCACCAGGTGCCAGGGAGGTTTCACGAGAGGGTTTCTTGTCCGGGTGGCTTCAGGTGGGTGCTCATGGAGGGAGCCGAGACCGGTGTGTCCTCATGGAGACATTTTCCTCTCTCTTTGCAGGATTCGCTGAGTGCTGGACCTGGTAAGGGCATGACTGTATTACAGGAGGGCAAGTAGAGACAGCATCTTCATTGTGGCTGCAGGCGTCCCCACCACTGAGCATGTGGGAGGGGGAAGCGCCTTCCAAAAACCAAAAACGAGCATTGGTAGCTGCAGAAGAGTCCTGTGCTGCCCTCACAGCAAGAGCTGGGGCTCTGAGCTCTCTCCTGTCCCTGCTCCCCAAAGCAGGAGGTTGGGTCTCCTGCAGCAGGACCCGGCTCCTCGCTGGGCTCAGCCCTTGCCCGCTGCAGCCTCCAGCACCTTTGGGTGCATTCGTGTCCCTGGGTCTGCTCTGCCAGGAGGGTAAAGCTTTGGCACGTTGCACCGGTAACCGAGGAGAGCCCGGCGAATTCCCTGGTGCCAGATGGTCCCTCGAAGCAGACCAGGCGTGTGGTGGCAGGGAGGGTTGCTGCCGATGGGGAGCAGCGTCCTGCCGGCGCGTGTCCCCTGTGCTGCAGGGACGCGGGGCTCCAGGCGCTGCCCTCTGATGGGGCCATTGGTCACGATGGTTACCACGGTATTTTTGTATTTTCCTTTGCTCAAAACTAGCCTTGGCAGAGTGCTGGGCCTGCCCTGCCCGTGCTCTGGCGTGAAGGAGAAGGAACAATTTGTCTTTCTGCTTTTTCGGATGAAAGGAGAGCCAAGCCTGGCAAAAAGAAACCTGAATCGAATCGGTGGTTAAAAAAAGAAAGCACAGAGTGCTCTCGCTGGGTGGGGAGAGGCAGAGGTGGGGAAGCATTTTGAAGATAAACACTGTGGTTTTAGTGCAGTTGGGGAGGCTTATTTAATGTGCAGATGTTTGGAAAACTACTGGACTTTGGCTGCGAGCTTCAGGGGCGTTTGGGTGCCAGCTCTGGCTGGAATTCAGTGGAAGCCAGGAGTTCTCTGGTCCCTTTGGCAGTCGCGGGTGTCACCACTGAGCCCGGCGGGGTTTGGTGCCGGCCAGGCATCGCCGAACAAGAGCCTGTCTGCCACGGCGAGGTTCAAGTCCAAGTTCAGGGCTGGGAGTCAGAGCTTTGGCTTGGCTCTGTCCTGCATGAATTTATTTTTGCTCAGTGGACTCAGCCTTCCACGTAACTGCAGGAGCCAAGACCATTCTCTGTGGGCACCGTTCCTTCTGCTTTCTGCCCCCAAATCCTGCCTGCCACTGCAGTTGTCGTTCACAGGATGAGGAACAACAGGCTTCAGGAGCGGTATTTTTGTTTTGCTTCTTTTTAGCAGGGTCTAGGTGATGAAACTGTTTTGCATCTGTTCCAGGTCCTAAAATGGTGGCGGTTCAGAATTACCACGGAAACCCAGCCCCCCCGGGGAAGCCGGTGCTGACGTTTCAAATTGGGGACGTGATTGAGCTGCTGCGGGGGGACCCCGACTCGCCGTGGTGGGAGGTGAGAGCGATTCCCTTTGGGAAACTCCCAGGCAGCTTTAAACCAGTGACTTCTGCATCATCCCTTTTATCTGTGGGATCTCCCGGAGCCCGGGAGCTGCAGCGGTGACCGTCCCCATCCCTGTGCAGCAGTAACGTTGCATGTCCCAGTCTGATACCCGGCTTGGCTTTGCAGGGGCGGCTGCTGCAGACGAAGAAGTCGGGTTATTTTCCCAGCTCGTCGGTAAAGCCCTGCCCGGTTGATGCGAGGGTGAGTGCCAAAGCAGAGATGGAGCTGGGGGCACACTGGGTGCTGTGGGAATGTGGGGACATGGGATGGTCATGGGAGGTGCCGCTCCGGCCGTGCCTGTCACTCTTCTAAGCCTGCTGCTTGAGACCTTGCTTCTTCAGTAAGTCCCCAGACCTTGAATGAGCCATTTTACTGTGGGTGAACTAGTGAGGAATTGGGTGCATCCTCCCATGGCTGCAAATGTCTGGTCAGGTTGGTCTGGGCCCTGTTCCCAAGGCTGGGTTGGCGTGACCGGGTCCGGACCCCATTCCTCCTCCGCGGTGCTGGCTCAGCAGCAGAGTGCTTGAGATCAGCCACAGTACAGGAAAACTGCACTTTTGGGGTTTTTTACAATCTTGTGCAATGCTGTCAGCTGCTTCCCAATTAAAAAACATTCAACTAAATGAAAAAATGCAGCGCGCTTATCACAGCTGGGAGGCTGGGAGAGAAATGCTGAGCTCCAACACTGCCCTCCACCGCCGAAGCCAATAATTCAGCGACGGCTCGGCAGAGGCAAACCCTCCCGCGCAGCGGAGCACCTCGC